GAAGGTTGTATATTTCTGTTAGTATCAGAACTAGAAGGAGAACCCAGGTCTCTTGGCCCTTATCCAATGTTCTTTGTATTATACCATACCACATTATTAGTGTCTATAAATTCAGACTCTGAGACACAAAGAAAGTATGACTTTGCCAGGGCTATTAAACTATACTCATTGAGGATAGATACAGAAGATAGCTGAGACTAGGGATTCCAGAATATGCTGGTCCACTGGGGTATGATAAAGCTTTCACTGGTTTTCACTAAAATGGAAAAGAGAGGGAAAAGAAAAAAGTGTGTGTGTGTGTGTGTGTGTGTGTGTGTGTGTGTGTGTGTGTGAGAAAGTCAGAGAGGAAAGAGAAGAGAGAGACCAGAACTGGGGAGGAGTTGTAAAGTTAAAGTGTTTTAGTGTTGGGAAGGTATATCTTTATTTTGAGATCGTCTTTCTCACATTTTTAGTCTTAAAATGGCCTTTCTTTTATAAAACAATAATATTAGGTGGAACTTGATTAACATTTAATATCAGTCCCACAGATTTACTTTTTTAAAAAAATTAATTTATGGGCTTCCCTGGTGACGCAGTGGTTGAGAGTCCGCCTGCCGATGCAGGGGACATGGGTTTGTGCCCCGATCCAGGAAGATCCCACATGCCGCGGAGCGCCTGGGCCCGTGAGCCATGGCCGCTGAGCCTGCGTGTCCGGAGCCTGTGCTCCACAACGGGAGAGGGCACAACAGTGAGAGGCCCATGTACCGCAAAAAATAATAAATAAATACATACATAAATATATTCATTTATGTATGTATTTATTTATTTTTGGCTGTGTTGGGTCTTCGTTGCTACACGCGGGCTTTCTCTGGTTGCGGTGAGCAGGGGCTGCTCTTCGTTAAGGTGTGCGGGCTTCTCATTGCAGTGGCTTCTCTTGTTGCGGAGCACAGACTCTAGGCATGCAGGCTTCAGCAGTTGTGGCACTCGGGCTCAGTAGTTGTGGCTTGTGGGCTCTAGAGCACAGGCTCAGTAGTTGTGGCACACGGGCTTAGCTGCTCCACGGCATGTGGGATCTTCCTGGACCAGGGTTCGAACCCATGTCCCCTGCATTGGCAGGTGGATTCTTTTTTTTTTTTTTTTTTTCTTTTGCGCTACGCGGGCCTCTCACTGCTGTGGCCTCTCCCGCTGCGGAGCACAGGCTCCAGACACACAGTCCCAGCGGCCACGGCTCACGGGCCCAGCCGCTCCACAGCATGCGGGATCCTCCCGGACTGGGGCACGAACCCGTGTTCCCTGCATTGGCAGGCGGACTCTCAACCACTGCGCCACCAGGGAAGCCCTGGCAGGTGGATTCTTAACCACTGCACCACCAGGGAAGTCCCAAGTCCCACAGATTTACTTTTGAACCTTTCTAAAATCTAAAATTCTTGGGACCACTGTCCTAACCTATTAATTCACTATGGTTGATAAATAGATCTTCAACATCCATAAGCTAAAATATTTAATTTTCAAGAAATATGGAACATAAAAATCAGTGTTTCAGAAACATAAAGATGAAAAATACAGCATCATATAGCAAAACTGTACTATCTTTTTTGATTCTAACCAATTTGCTATTAAGGAAAAAGAAATGAAAATATTTAAACAAATATTGCGTTCCTCATAACATGCTTCATTCCAAGATGCTACATTTGGTAGATATTCGAATACCTGAAGCTGCATTATCACAAACTAGAACAAACCTTTATGGCACAAGTATAATATCTTAATAATGTTTTATACTTAGCCTCTAAATTTAAATATGCATATTTTAAAACATCCTCCAAAGTTAGCTGTTAATATTAGAATTAAGAAAGTCACTGAAAACTAGTATATACCGGTATTTATTGTGGTTCTATCTAAGGTAAAGATATTAGGGTATTTTTTCTATAATTTTCAACTTTCAGTCAGGAAATAGTTTCATAATGGAAATAGTTTTATAATCATAAAACTCCAAATGTTTTCAAAAAGTCATAACTGCTTGAGACTTTAAGGCCTTGATACTGTTTGGTCAGGGTTTTTTGCCATTTTCTTTCCTATGATCTATAACAAAAAGCTCGCTGTATTTAATAAGTCTCAAGGCCATCTTTTGTGAAAACTCCACATGTCATTGCAGTGGATTCATTGTAGTAGGATTCTGTAATCATTGTTGGATCTTCTGCAGAACATAATTTTCTATATCCTAAATGATTACTCAGCTTGGTATAGAATAACATATTCTGTTTCATATTTACTGAGGGAGAAACTTTTGTTTTTGTTTTTTTTCTGAAGAGCTGAGAAGACAACCATAGTTGTTATCCAGTAAACAATAATGTACATGTTACTCATTATGTTAGTCATAGAAAAGTAAGCCTGTTGTTTAATTGTACAAAAATACTTAAAATAAGAATAAAATTATCTTTAATAAAGAAAATAGTACAATCTATATCATTGTTACTGTACTTTTTGGCCTTATAATGTTAAGAGATGCCCTGGTTCTGTGGGTTTGCTCAGTCATAAACTGATATTAAAAAATAATCATAATAAAAGGAAGGCAAAAGCTTTAAAGGAATTCAGATCAGCATAAGGGTAGTCTTATTAAATCTGATGCTAACTCACTGCATTGGAAAATCAACTTTCCCAAGACACTAAGAAGTCAAGCTTTAGTGTCACAAGCTAGCCATGGAGTCTCATGGATGTTTTTGGTTTGTGTGTTTGGACTTCTGTCAAATATAGTGTAGATAGTCTTTAAACAAAAAAACTCAGACTTGTGTGTGTAGGTTCATTAATAAGAACATTGCAATAAGTTTAAAGGGTAATAAGGCTTAAGTTAGAAAGGCTGTTGTTTGTGATGAAAACAGCTCATTTGTTACACATTTCTACATTTATTAGATGTATTTTTATTATTAAACTAGAATAGTAAAATCTTACAAGAAGGGTAGAGATGATAACTCATAGAATAAGCGTGAATTTTCTTCTTTGTGCAGAGCATTACTTACTAGGCCAAATACATTTTTATGGATATGCAGTTTAAGGCTTTACTTTTTTATTTTATTTTTTTGGCCACACCATGCAGCATGTGGGACCTTTGTTCCCTGACCAGGGATCGAACCTGCGCCCCCTGCATTGGAAGTGCAGAGTCTTAACCACTGGACCACCGGGGAAGGATTTACTTTTTTAAATTATACGTACCCCTGTAACGTTTCACAGATATTCACAAGAAGCAAGTTTTAGCCTTAGTGGAATAGCAAATCCCATATTTTACATGCTTTGGGTGCTTGATGATTTCAACTTCTGTTCTTACACTAGGAATCCACATACTTGAACTTATAATAAAACATTCAAATCATATGTCTATCATCTTCCTTGGATACTTCTTCATTCAGATAATCAAATTTTAAATTTTTCTACCAAAATGAAAAGTTAGTTTTATACCTCTTGCCAAGTGAAACAAACTGCTATTCATGAAAGAAACAATACCACTCAAATTAGTTCCAGTATTTAATGTAGGTCTAATAGGATATCTAGTATTATAAGGCATATTCTATTAAATACTGTGATTATAACAGTTGAATTAATGTTTATTATTTTAAGTAAAATGCAATAATATTTATGATAACTCTTTTATACAATTTAATTTTAAATAATTATATTAGGAAATAAACTGACAACTAATAGGAATTTTAATAGATAACCACTAGAAAGAATGAACGGTTAATAATTTGGTGGCAAAATTGCCATTAGCAGTACCATAGCCAAAAAATATCTTCTACTTCCACCAACCTAAGTTGAAAAGTAACATCTATATAGTTTCAGAGTTGTACAGTATAGAACACACAGTCTAACAGCTGACACTGCTAAGAGATATACTGATAATGTGAAACTTAAAATTTAACAAGAAAAATTTTGATAATAATAAATACCTTTATTATAAAATTTCATATGTATTCCTACATCCCAGAAATTTATTCTGTGATGACAGTTTTTGACTTCAGCCTTACTTGGCTTTGTATGAAAATTGCTCAGCATTTACCTAAAATATATATTTGGTCCACCTCTTAGTTATGGTGATGATCCTAACTATTGGAGGACAGTAGTATTGCCTGGCACCTTTCCAACTGGCACCTTTCCAACTTATAAACAAAAGTGTTAAAGACAGAGGAATTTAAAACTAAGAACCCGGTGATTAGGATGACAAGAAATACCTGAAGCCATTTTTTCCATCTAAGTCATCAGTGGTACTGTCCATTAATTAAGTGAATACACTTGTCAGAAGTAACCACCACCTGTGGAGCTAGATAGGTTCAGCTGTAACTTTTGTAATAATTTGCCTACTTGCCCTTCAAAAACACGCACCAATGAAGTTCTCTTGTCAATAGATGCTACAGATACAATGAATAAGCCACAGTCTTGCTCCTCAAGAGTTCATGGTTAAAGCAGGAGATGTTTAAAGAAATAATTATGACTAAATAAGACATTATTATTTTGTGGTTGAAACAAAATTGAATTAAATTCTGCTATTTGTTTTTTGTAGTAAACCATTTCAGTTTTTAGGAGAAATTCTTTAATTGTGCTTTTTTTTTCCTACTGAAAAATGTTATCTAAACAAAGAGATACAGCGAAAGATGTAATTTTAATGCTCAACCACCTGTCATTAGTGCCACAGTAATTATAGCCACAAAACTCTTTGGAAGCTGAAGTCTGGTTGCTTACCTAAATTCTAGTAATACTTAGATAAAGAATTTGTGAAATTTGAACTTTTCCAGTTTTTGCCATTGCCAATGGCGATTGATAATCCAAACAGAGATGTCTTAATATATGTAATAAATTGATTTTTATTGATTATCGTGTACAGTAATTCTGAACAGGTACTTTTAATGTTTTCTCTGACCCAAACAAAGGCCCCAAAATTCTCTTCTTATAAGCTAAATGTACTGCTATCTGAGTGCCAAGGAAGTGCCTTCATAAGCTTACATAAAAATAATTGACTTTGTTTGCAATAGGAATATGATGAAGAATGGGCTAAGAAAATTCAGAGTGAAAAGTTTCGCTGGCATAATTCTCAGTGGCTGGAGATGGTAGAGAGTCGTCAGATGGATGAGAGTGAGCAGTACTTGTATGGTGATGATCGAATTGAGCCATACATCCATGAAGGAGACATCCTTGAGAGACCTGACCTTTTCTACAGCTCAGGTAAAATGATAACCAAAGCAAAAATAAGTAGTCTCTGTGTGTGATATAAATAGGGATTTTTGTCTGCCAACCTTGCTCATTCCCAAGCTTTGTAAGCACTTCTTTTAGTATATAAATGGCCTTCTGCTAATGATTTTAGACATAACATCAGTACACACACCAAGCAAACCTATTAACTCACCATTATTTTTTTCCAAGTTAGTCTTTGATGTGATCCCCATTAAAAGGGCTGTGTTTGATGTGATCCCCATTAAAAAGGCTGTGACCAGGAAAATTAATTGCTCTTAGTTTATTATTTTCTAGAATGTGTAACTTAAAATGACATCTTCAAGATTGCTGACTTCTGTTTGAAAATGTGATATTTTTCTCTATTCTGCATTTATTTAAATATATAATTTACTAATTTATGTTTTCTTTTCCAGTGTGTTTCATTTTAACAGTCTCATTTTGCCATGGTTTTGCTTTAGTTTCGAACTAGTAACCCCTGTTTGGTTCTCTGGTTGGGAAGGTTTAGACACTTTATAGCAATAGTTTTTTCATTCTAAACTCTTGCTAGTATTTTCAAGGCAAAATTTAATTTTTACATAGATCTTACATACCCTTGTTGATTCTGCCATCCTGCCTTTTTCCAGGGATTTTGGTACTAAGAACAGTAAGTTTTTGCATATTCTCCCTTTTAATGCGTTGCACTGTTACCAGTATTAATTACTTCATTGAAGTCATTTAGTTGAAGAGACAAAAGAAGGGATTTCTAACTAAGATCTGTAGCAGGTTGCAAATAAAAAGCATTTAAAGTAATTGTATCTGAATTAATGGCTCACCTTTTTTTCCTACTATGTATTCATTCGTATATTTTCATAATTGTATTCTGTGCATATTGCCCATAAGGCTGCATTATTTTTATATTTGATATAGATACTTGAATCCTGGAAAATTGGTACTTTACTTTGAAAATTAAATAGATTTCTTCCTAAGTGAACTTTACAGTAGTTATGAAATACTGCTTTGAGTTTCAAACCAGATGGAGTAGATGATTAATTTCAACCAACCAGAATTTCTTAATTCAGTAATGGCAAGCAGCTGTTCCTTACCTAGTCAGATATTCATGAAGTAAAATGAGGTAAAATATATATGATGTGAATTTTTTGATAATAGAAATCAGAATTTCTTGGAATCAGGTTTCTTGCTTTGAAAATTGATAGATAGCTACTTTTCAGTGTGAATCAATGAGCAGTTTCCAAAAATGAGTAAAACTTGTAACCACCTCAGTATTTAACTTTGTTGTTTTAATACAATTAGAATTTCAGAACAGATTTCTAAAAAATTATACCACTTTTCCAAAATTAATTCATTTAAGTTGACCCCTTAAAATGAAAATCATAACATTTTTCTGTGAGATACAATTAAAATGTACAACCTATGCTTTTGTGAGAAATCTGAATTGTACACATTTTCATATATCTAAATTTAGAAACAGCCACAGCTGATGGAAAAATAAATAAATTTAAGCATTCGAGGGGTGAAATGTTATCTTTAGATAGCCTCATGGTTGTTTTTTTATACCTATAGCCTGATGATATGGTACATACTTGACAGCAGAGATTACATTGCTGTGAGTTTAAAGATGTAATTCTCATATCAAGCCACCTGTACTTTTTTAGTTTATTATTTTACCTACTTTATTTTTCATGAACACTTCATCAACTAAGTGAGTCTCTGTGGTGTTTTTGATATGTGTCATGGAAATCTCGACAATGCTAGTCTCTTGTCTTTTACTGTGTGCAGTTGTATCTTCAGAAACATCAGATAAATTTGTAACACTGCAGATTTGTTGGGATGCTTTAGCTATCTTACTTAAGTCTCTGGCTCTCCATGAAACTTTAGGCTGCTTCTGATAAAAGCAACTGTAGAGTTTTTCAACCACAGAGTTTAAGCTAAATGGCCAGTGATACCCTGGTCTTATCTTTTATTTAAAAATGAACTAGCATTTGCTACTTCCTGGTCATTAGTATTGCCCTCTATGCTTTCCAACTGTTAGACATGTCAAAATGTATCTGTTTCTTTCTTGCTATTATTTTTAAAAAGGACCCTCATTCTGTTATCTGAAATAGGAATCTACTTATACATCTCCTTATAGCTACATTATTTTTTTTTCTTAGTCTAAAATAATTGTGATTGCAGTTACTAATTTCCTTTTCTATCATGAAAATGATGCTGTTTGCTTTAGTACTTTTTTACCCACAGAGGAAGTATATTATAATTTATAAAGCTGTATTGCTACTACACATTTCTAAATTATTTGTTACTTTTTTGCTGTTGTTCTTCATTCATTGTGATGAATCTTATTCTTAGCATTTATTATGTAACTATATTACAGAATATGAAACTTAAAATGGTTTATTTCTGTCTCAGGATCATTATAAAACCATAATTTTCATTTACCTATGTGTTTATGTGATGTATCTTATCAGGTGTAGCCAAATAAGTTATGATTTATCTATTTTAGTCATTTCTTTTTCTCATTTTCTTCACTCTTTATATCTGTTTCCTCCCACACAGTCATGATTTCACTTTTAGCTAGTTCACCAAAGAGCCTAATACTACGTTTTCATTTGACTTTTAGAAATAAAGTTTACTTCAGTAACAATATATAAGAAGATACTGAGTTTTTGTATTTTTTTACTTTTATTTATTCAATATGTATAAGCCAGTTTTTTTAACTGAGTTTCAGAAATCAGAAAGTTGATAAATTATCTATGCTGGCAGTAAATTTGCTTTGATTTCATTCTTGTTCCAATACATACCCCATTTTACTCATAACCACATTTATCATCATTACTTAGAGCACCTCAAGAAGGTGTGTTATATAACTATGGTCTAAAAGGTTTCATGTAATTTAATAACCTAAATGTATATAATGCTCTACAATTTACAAAGTGCTCTGGTGTATATCCTCTCTGTCTTCTATTTGTTCTCTGGGCATTTAAATGTTACATGAAATTCTTTGATTCCTTGTTGCTATCTTTGAAACAGTAAGGTTAGAGTAGGAACTTAAGAAGGACACTCCTAGATTTATCTGAATACGTGATTACAACCAAAAATACATAAAAATTAATTTTGGTTACAGAATGCTGAGAAACAGATAATTCCAAAGAAGTTGAAGTGCTTGAGTTGATGATTTAAGATATAATTTAACTTCTATACTTCATTATAGTGAAGAATGATTGCTCATATTACAGAGTTACCTAAATTTTGTCAAGTCATTAAAGGGCAGTGTAGAAGCTGTAGTTTACCAAATGAATTGCAGGGCCTTAGGATTATTAAAAGTTAAGTTCAGAAGTATAAATTTACTCTTTATTCATATAATATCAGGCTTATTGTATTACTAAACTTACTGTATTCTAGGTTTATAAAATTTCTTAAACTAGTTGTATTTTGGGTTTATAAAATTCTCGCTGAATCTTTAAATTCAAATTTTTTTTAGTTTCATCTCTATTTGATGAGATCCCCGTTTGTAGTTCCCTGTATTCCATTTATCCTTCTTACTCATTTTTCCCTTTGAAGACAATGAGAGCTTTGAATCAAAATGAAGATGTTGAGAATTTGACAACAGTTTTTCATTTAAGTTCTTCCTCATCTGATTCACTTCACTAGATCGTGTTTCATGTAATATTAACTTTTAATGTATAATTCAGGTATTTTTATTTGGTTGTATTTATATGAGTGTTATATTTCTGAGTGTTAGAATCTTTTATGCTGCTGGCATGCTGAATATCTTTGTATTCATTTTCAAAGTGCGGTATACATTTTATTTTGGCATTACTTAGCTTTGTTCCTCTAAAATTGGCAGATTTCTTAACTCCTGATCCTAAATTATTTGGTTTTAATTTAACAGAGAAACTTGTTGATTTTTGTGGTCTTCACCTTGTTAATTTTAGCCAAACTTTCACAGTCTTAGATCCATAGAAAATTAATTTTTTTAGCCGCTTAACTCTCAATCTGTGGTGTCTTGGCATTCCCATAATTTCATTTTTTGTAACTTTTTTTGTGTTTAGCTGGACTTTTGGTTTATAGAATTTTTAACTTTTAGAGGACACAGAAACTGGACTAAATACTACATACTTTTTAGCTACCTCTTAAGTATTTTAAATTTACTAAAGTAATAAGGTAAATACCAGAGGTATTATTAACAATTCAACAATTAAATAATAATGCCAGTCTTTAGTATATGGTATGTAACAAATGGATATATGTAACAAATGAGTAGTACAGGAGTCTTATGGAAATACCAATTATTTTTACCTATTCATTTCCCAACTCGATTAATTTTTACCATCTATTCGATTTTTAATACCCTTACTCCTAAACAGATTTTATCATTTAATTCCCAGCTATCAATACTCAAATCAGTTACACCTCTGCCTCCCTCCCTTCCCAAGTAGGATTTTCTAACCTCTACAGAACACAGTAATCCTTCTGTAGCTTTTTCAGCCTCCAGCATTCATTTAGTAGGTATATCCCTTCCTATTGTGTATCATTTATTAATGAAATGTATTATTTAATTGCATCTTAAGTGTCTATTTGTATTTCACTTAACCTGAAAACAGAAATTATGTATTCTAAGTTTTTCCACAGGACCTAGCAAAGTATTATTGCATGTGGTAGGTGTAAAATGATTGTCTGGTGACTGAATAATTTGCTTACTGTGTGCCAAATTTATAAACTATGTTGTGGATACCACCTAGCCAACAAGTGACCTAGAGGTCACTTACCAACCCAGAATACTTTCAGAAAAGGAAACTTTAAAAGGCTTCAGAGCTTTTCAAATAGTAATTACAAAAGCCATATACTAAAATATATTTGTTCTATGCATAAGACAGCCCTGAGGCTATCACTTAGATCCTTTTTCCTCAGATTCTTCTTATTCTTAATTCACTCATAATTCTATCAAAAATAGGTCATCTGGATTCTTAGATTGGAGCGAATGAGAAAGTAGTATCACTCTAAAATCAGCAAGAAGTAATAATAAAGACTTAGATTTAGGAAAAGGAGCACTTTATAAGCAAAGAAAAAGTACTCAAAAAGCATAGTAGTGTAGCCACATAGCGTAGGTAGTCAAATATATCTAATAACCTAGGGCGTTACTACATAATAATTGATGTTTATAATGAAGATTGAGTTATCAAGAAGTTTTAAAATTATATTCAGTATACTTTTTAAAAACACAGGAAATATAAAATGTATTTTCAAGGATTTCTAACCCAAGTTTGTGTGTTTGTTTTAAGGTTTGACACTTAAAGTGTCAAGCATTGCTTATATAAAAATTCACTTATTTGAAATGTATAATTCCCTAATCATACTACACAAATGAAGCTGTCTGGGTATAAAATGTCGGACATACTAGAGTGTTGGTCTTTACCGAAACCATGCTATTTAATGTCTCTTCTATTTCCTTATTCATTCTGTTTCTTAGCCTGGAAGGTTTATTGTCCCTCCCTATCCTACCTCATCCCTTAACTTTTGTTGTCTTCTCCACAAGACTAGAAGCCCCTTGAAGGCAGAGATTTTCTTATTCATCTCTCTAATAAAATAGTACTACCACATAGTAGATGCTCAATAAATGTCCAATCATTGTAAAAGAACACTTAAGTATGTATGGTCTTCTGTTCATACTCCCAGAGAGAATTGAATATCATGCTAACATTTTTCTTCCGGATTAAATATACAGTTTATTTTCTATTGTGTTACTTGATAGAACAGTTTCCTTTTTATTCCCTGCAAAGATGTTTCACTAGTTACTATTTTCTTTCATCCTAGATGGATTAGTTGCCTCTGAAGGAGCCATGAGTCCAGATTTCTTCAATGATTATCACCTTCAAAATGGAGATGTAGCTGGGCAGCATTCATTTCCTGGCAGGTAAACAGTCTTCCAAGAAAAATCTAATATATGCTGTTCCCCTTGTTTTTGAAAAGCTAAAATTTTCTTCACTTCCCATTTTTCTTTTTCCATCAAAGAGTAAAAAAAAAAAAGAATCCTGAATATTTTCAAGAACATACTCATTTGATTTTAAATTAACTTATGAAGTCACATTTTGTATGTAAAAAAATGAAGATCACAGTTCTAAAAAAAAAATGTGTGTGTATGTGTGTATATATATATATATATATATATGGGGGGTGTGTGTGTGTGTGTGTGTGTGTGTGTATATATATATATATATATATGCTTCCTCATTTTGGAAAATACAGGCTGTCTATTGAAATACAGTACTTTTGCCAAATTAATGACCCAGATTGTTTCGTAAGTGTTTTCCAAAGCCAGTAAAATATAAAATAAGAACACAATACATGTATTTTTTTTAACTTTGTTCTTTTTTTTTTAACATCTTTATTGGAGTATAATTGCTTTACAATGGTGTGTTAGTTTCTGCTTTATAACAAAGTGAATCAGCTATACATATACATATATCCCCATATCTCCTCCCTCTTGCGTCACCCTCCCTATCCCACCCCTCTAGGTGGTCACAAAGCACCGAGCTGATCTCCCTGTGCTATGCAGCTGCTTCCCACTAGCTATTAAGTCTACATTTGGTAGTGTACATATGTCCATGCCACTCTCCCAGTTCGTCCCAGCTTACCCTTCCCCCTCCCCGTGTCCTCAAGTCCATTCTGTAGTAGGTCTGCATCTTTATTCCTGTCCTGCCCCTAGGTTCTTGAGAACCTTTTTTTTTTCTTCTTTTTTTAGATTCCATATATATGTCTTAGCATACAGTATTTGTTTTTCTCTTTCTGACTTACTTCACTCTGTATGACAGACTCTAGGTCCATCCACCTCACTGCAAATAACTCAATTTCATTTCTTTTTATGGCTGAGTAATATTCCATTGTATATATGTGCCACATCTTCTTTATGCATGCATCTGTCAATGGACACTTAGGTTGCTTCCATGTCCTGGCTATTGTAAATAGTGCTGCAATGAACATTGTGGTACATGACTCTTTTTGAATTATGGTTTTCTCAGAGTATATGCCCAGTAGTGGGATTGCTGGGTCATATGGTACTTCTATTTTTAGTTTTCTAAGGAACTTCCATACTGTTCTCCATAGTGGCTGTATCAATTTACATTCCATCAACAGTGCAAGAGGGTTCCCTTTTCTCTACACCCTCTTCAGCATTTATTGTTACAATACATGTATTTTAACAATTATTCAGACATCACCGTTTTAAAAAGTTGATGCTTTGGGCTTCCCTGGTGGCGCAGTGGTTGAGAGTCCACCTGCTGATGCAGGGGACACGGGTTCGTGCCCCGGTCTGGGAAGATCCCACATGCCGCGCAGCGGCTGGGCCCATGAGCCATGGCCGCTGAGCCCGTGAGCAATGGCCGCTGAGCCTGCGGCCATGAGCCTGTGCTCCGCAACGGGAGAGGCCACAACAGTGAGAGGCCCACGTACCGCAAAAAAAAAAAGTTGATGCTTTGATTAAATTAAAGACTTTTCCTCCCTGCATGGCATTCAAATAAAATATTTAAGGAAAAAAACCTAACATGCCAGCATTGTTGTACAATTATAGTAAAGTTTCCCTCAATAGATATCCTGCTTCATTACTCGTCTCATAGATTTTTTAAGTCTTGCCAGAAAGTGTAAATAATAGTTTTCCCTTCATATCATTGCTAGAGTTGTAATATTTTAATTTAGGATGACTATTGAAATTTCACATTAAAATGGTCCAATGAATAGATGTAGTCTTTTTGCCCTTAAGACTAGTTTTTTCTTTAGATTATTGATTTAATTTTCTCTTCTAAAATTATAATTTTATTAACATAAATATTTATGTTTGGAGGATGTGTTTAAGAATACAATTGTGACCAATGTGTTACAACTCTTGAATCATCGCTTATAGTAAGCCATTTCAATTCAATAATTATTGCAACCATTATCAATTATGTATAATTTATTTTGCAAATATTTATGTTTATTTTAACCTACTTAGCAAGATTATTATAATGTCTATTTTCATAGACATTTTAAAAATGAAAAAATCAAGGCTCTAATTTAAGTAACCAACTCACACATGTAGGATGATAGAGAAAAAAATTTGAACTTAGGTCTATATGTCTTATGGTCTTTCCAGTATAACACGGTACCTAATTTTGAAGGAAACATAGCATATTATAGTGACTTTTAAGTGTTTTTTTCTTTTGTTTTGCCACAACCCATATTAAGAAATACCTTTCATATTGCAACCCAGTGCACACATACATATTTATATATATACATATATATCCATATGTGTTATATATATACACACACACATATATATAAAACAAAAAATTCTTAAAACAGTAATTACTCTTACTATCTGTAATGCACAATGATATATTCTGTTTTAGTCTCTTCAATTTTATTTTTAAAATTCAGATTGCAGCCCACTATATTGATTTCACAACCCACTGTTGGTCGTGACAAAATTTAAAAGCATAGTGGAAAAATACAGGGGTATTTTATGAAATGCAATAACCTTATATGTAGTTCAGTAGTCTTTAGTGAACTTTAAATAAATAATAACACTTTAGAAATAGTTTCATTGGTGTACTGGATTGTCATGATGAGAAACGACTTGCCTTAGGAAAAAAAAAAATTAAACATGGTTAAATACCAGAAGCATATGGCTTTTGATTACTTCTGATGTCTCTGTCTGTGTTAGCTATAATTATTTAAATAGAGATTCTCTTTAATTATTATAACTATTATACTACTCCATCATGTGACAATTCACTGTACAAATGTTTTCTGAAACATAATTAGAAAGGGAAGAAGTTATTTCGTTATATAATCCCAATGTTTATATTGAAAATTTTTGCTGATAGCGTTTAAAAGATTAATTTTTCTGCCATTTATGTTTCACTATGAACAAAACATTGTTTTGTGTGATACTAACCATGCGTTACTTATTTGAGAAAGACATGATTTTTTTCTATAGTTATGTGATTTTAAAGAACCTGAACATTTTCATTAAAATTGAATATCCAAAGGAATGAACTTGAGCTCAACTCAGCAAAATCTTTCATTTCTGGTTTTCAAAAATGGTCATTTTATAAAACAATAAAGATGTTTAGAGAGATGGCTATACTCAAAGACTAAGTTATGTACTGTGTCCAAAGATTTCAGGATTTTATTCCTCAGTTCTGTTAACAAGTTGTTTTTTAAAAGACTGGGAAAGTTCTCTTACCTTTGTGCCTTTAGTTCCTTTTCAAGAATAAAAATATATAAGTAGCTTTTTTCACATCATAAAAAACACATCACAGCTATGTTGGTTTAAAGGATTAGTTAATAAAACTTCATGTAGACTATATATTTTTTCAAATCAAAAGAGTGATATACTTATTTATTATAATCATTTTGAATTGAGAATTGTTTGCCCTTTCAAAAGAACTTCCCTTGAGAAAGCTAAGTCTTTCATCTCTTGTCTTTTGTAATTTTTCAGGCCTTAAATCATGTAACTGTATCATTTTCTCTTTGTATTTCCAGAAGAAATAATTTACTATGAATTTCCTCAGTTTTTTTCTGAGTAACAGATCAAATAAAAAGGGACTCTAAATTTTATCAGCAGATATACAGAGAAAGCTTACAGTATAACCAAAAATTCATAGTTGTTCTTTGCTACATTTTTTATTGACCTTCTCTAGAATCATTTACTCTTTCTTTTATGAATCATTTTTGTTGTTAGGATTGTCTTCTAATAGGATTTCTTTGTTATTCTTTGATAGCAACAAACCATGGACCTTAACTCTGGCTTATTTTTTTTAATTCTACAAAGATTTAAGTATTTTAAATTGTTCCATAATTATTCACATATTTTGGCATGATAATTTTGATGCATAATGTCCCAGATGTGAAATTTTAAACTAATGGCTACCTTTAGGCTTCTGATATCCAATAGGTAAATTTAAAACCTATTAGACCAAATAACATTGACTTAAAATGATGCTTTTGAAATATTTCATTTTAATTGATTTTAAGCAAAATGGGAATATTTTTGAAAAATGTAGACAGAAGGTGTTGAACTCTTATTCTTCATCTTTACTGTGAAGATAAGAATAAGCAGACTTACTGAACAACATGAAGAATTTGGGTTAATTATGAAAGAATAATGCCTTGATTTAATTTTGAATATTGAAAAAGCTGATTTTAAAAACAGGAAATGTTATCTATTTTGAGGTGTTTTTTTTAACATTTTTATTGGAGCATAATTGCTTTACAGTGGTGTGTTAGTTTCTGCTTTATAACAAAGTTAATCAGTTATACATATACATATGTTCCCATATCTCTTCCCTCTTGCGTCTCCCTCCCTTCCACCCTCCCTATCCCACCCCTCTATGTGGTCACAAAGCACCGAGCTGATCTCCCTGTGCTATGCGGCTGCTTCCCACTAGCTGTCTATTTTACATTTGGTAGTGTATATATGTCCATGCCACTCTCTCGCTTTGTCACAGCTTACCCTTTCCCCTCCCCATATCCTCAAGTCCATTCTCTAGTAGGTCTGTGTCTTTATTCCCATCTTACCCCTAGGTTCTTCACAACCATTTTTTTTTTCTTAGATTCCATATATATGTGTTAGCATACGGTATTTGTTTTTCTCTTTCTGACTTACTTCACTCTGTATGACAGACTCTAGGTCCATCCACCTCACTACAAATAACTCAATTTTGTTTCTTTTTATAGCTGAGTAATATTCCATTGTATATATGTGCCACATCTTCTTTATCCAATCATCTGTTGATGGACACTTAGGTTGCTTCCATGTCCTGGTTATTGTAAATAGAGCTGCAATGAACATATTGGTACATGACTCTTTTTGAATTATGGTTTGCTCAGGGTATATACCCAGTAGTGGGATTGCTGGGTCGTGTGGTAGTT